TTTTATTATTTATTTGTATTTATTTTTTTGTTTGTATTATTTTTTTTAGAAAATAGTATATTTTTTTTCGAGAAAAATATGAATTTTGAAATGTAAATTGGTAAAAATACAATTTTATTTCATTTCAAATTTATTATTATTAACAAACTAATTTGTTCTTATTGTGCAAAAGACAACATTTTTTATTTTCAAATAAAATATTTTTGAATAATTTCATAATTAAAATTTCACGAAAGAATTCAATTTTTTTTTTAATTCGTTGTAAAATTTTCCAAAATAATTCTATTATTTCCTAAAATTTTAATAATTCCTTCCCAAGATTCAATTATTTTTTCAAATATAGTAAAATCTTTGCAAAATTCAATTATTTTCAATAAAGTTTCACGAAAGAATTCAATTTTTTTTCTAAATTCGTTATAAAGTGTTCCAAAATGATTCTATTATTTTCTAAAATTTTAATAAATTCTTCGAAACAATTTAATTATTTTTATAAATAATAAAATTCTTTGCAAGAATTCAATTATTTCCAATACAATTTTAATAAAATTTCATAAAAGAATTCAATTTTCTCTGAATATGTTATAAAAATTTTCCAAAAGAATCCAATTAGTTTCTAAAACTTTAATAAATCCTTCGAAACAATTTAATTATTTTTATAAATAGTAAAATTCATCGCAAGAATAAAATTATTTTTTATAAATAATAAAATTCTTCTCAGGAATTTAATTATTTTCAATTTTAATAAACTTCAATAATAAAATATTTAATTATAATTATTAACAGACACTATTTTTTTAAAAAGTTGAAAAAAATTCTTTGTTTAATTCAATTATTTTCAAAATTTTCAATTAAAATTATTTAAAAAACTACATTATTTAAAAAAAACTTAAAGAAATTCTTCGAAAGAATTTTATTATTTAAAAAAACTCTTTAGTAAGAAAATTATTAATTACAATTTTTAAAAAAAATTGATTTTATTCAATAAATTAAAGAAATTTTTTGAAAGAATTCAATTATTATTCGAACCATTGACAGATTTAATTTTTGATTATTTAATTATTTTTTTTTTGTAATTTATTGTATCCTTGAGTGAATTAATTTATTTTAGAAAATTGTAATAAAATTCTGAGTAGAATTTAATTATTTTCTTAAAATGTTAATAATATTCAGTTTAATTTCATTTATTGAGAAACACGATTATTTTAAAAACATGAAAGAAATTGTTCATAAAATTCAATTATTTTCAAAAATTTCAATTAAATGAAAGAAAGTCTGTTATTTTCAAAAATTTCAATTAAATTAAAGAAACTCTATTGTTTTTAAAAAAGTTCAAAGAAATTCTTAAAAAGAATTGAATTATGATTTTCAAAAAAATTTTAATAAAATTCTTCGCAAGAATTAAATTATTTTCGTAAATAATAAAATTCAATTATAGGTATTAAAAGATTTTTCATCAAATTCTTTGCAAGACACTAAAAAAATTGGAAACTGTAAAAATAGCGCAAATTAAAAATTGAACTCCATTAAAATTGAGTTCCATTTATATTAATGTTCAAACAAAATAAAATAATATAAAATAATTAATAAAGATCCTAAACTTATTTATTTTGCCGTTAGGCCAAAGAAAGAAGTTTAAGATCTTTATTTTAAAGTACATGACTTAATAAATTTTTTTACCATTATAGAAAATAGTAGAAAAAAATTTATTAGAAATAAAATAAAGTAATAATAATATTAATAATAATCTTGCGTGGAAATTAGAATTTATTTTATTGAATAATTTATTTAAATAAATAAATAAATAATTTATTTAATAAAATAAAATATTAAATAAATAAATTGTAATTATAATCTAGTCGTTAAAGAAAAAACATTTTTTAAAATACACATAAAATTATTCTGTCCAGACAAATAAGTTGTCACGCACAAAGATATATATATATAGTGAAGTGAACTCTATAATAAAGAAAAGTTGACATTAAAATTTCTCACGAAGAAAAGAAAAAGAATGAAAGTATTTTATGAAAAAAAAAAAAAAAAATTTGATGATTTTATTTTCCGCGCGCTTGGCAAAGTTTCATTTGACGACGAATTTTCTCTCTCTCTCTCTTTTCTCTCGCGGATGAGCAACGACGACGGTCTTTCATTGAGGCGAGAAAAGGAATTAACAGGCGATAAAGAAGCGGAGGAAGTCAGGAAATTAGAGGATGAAGGAGAATAATGGCGCATACCTTTATACCTCTCTGCACGATCGTAATTCGCCGCAAGTGCGAATCCAAAGGAAGCTCGCTCGAGTGTCTTTTAACGGCAATTTTTTTTCAAAAAGGAAAAAAAAATGTATATAAAAGAAGAAATAAAAAAAACTTAAGATCAAAGGTCTTTTGTCTCCGAAAAATATGTCCATTAATTTCTTCATCTACGCAAGAGAGAAAAAAAATTCACTCGAATGCTTTGCTTCGAAATTCGGATGTAGTAAAATTATTTTATTATACATATTTATTTTTCGAATAATTTTTATTTCAAATAATTTTTATTACGAACAATTTTTATTCCGAATAATTTTTATTACGAACAATTTTTATTCCGAATAATTTTTATTTCAAATAATTTTCATTTAAATCAAATACTGAAATTATTGATTCAAAAATAATTTATTTGATTTAATTAAAAATTGATTGATTCAAGTAAATATTTATTTGATAATAGACAATAAAGTAATCGATAGTTTGAATCAAATAAGAAATTTTTTTTTTCGTGTAGTTTATTCCAGAGAAGATTGTAAATACTTTTACGATAAATGAAGACGTTAATCGATCAAAATGCAATAAAATATTGACGACAAAGAAAGGAAAGAATGGGTCAAAGAGAGAAAGAAAATTCCATTGAACATTATGTATTCATCATCTTTGATTAAATTATCCCTAAGAGATGCTGATGATTGGCAATTATTATTTCTCCTACATAATAGTTTTGCCAGGATGAAAGAGAGACGAGAGAGTGCAGGAAATCCTTTTGAATTTTATGAAAAATTTTTCTATCATCCTTCAAGAGATGATTATGTTGTTTCATAAACGTGCTCATTACACGATTGGCAGTTAAAAGCTTACTGAACTTTCATTAGCAAACAGATTTAATGGGATTTCTATAAATTATTGATTATACCAAAATTATACCATGAAAATAAAAATAAATTAAATAACAATTTTTTTCTTTGCAATAAATAAATAAAATAATAATAAAAATAAAATTTTTCTTCTTTTCAATAAATAAATAAAATAAAATTTTTCTTCTTTTCAATAAATAAATAAAATAAAATTTTTCTTCTTTTCAATAAATAAATAAAATAATATTTTTCTTCTTTTCAATAAATAAATAATAAAAACTTTTTTCTTTTCAATAAATAAATAAATAAAATAAAAATGAAATAAGAATAAAAAAATGAAATAACATTTTTTTTTAAATAAATAGATAAAATAAAAATTAAATTAAATTAAAATTAAATAAAAATGAAATAAAAATGAAATAAAAATGAAATAAAAATGAAGTAAAAATGAAATAAGAAATAAAATAAAAAATAAATTAAAAAATAAATAATGGAACAATAAAAAATTATGATAAAAAATTATGATAAAAAAAACTGAGAAGTCTAAATGTTCCACAGACTGAATTCACCTGGAGCCAATGGCAAATAGTCAAGATGGGTAAATTTCTAAATTGGTTTACATGTGGGTGTATTGTATATAAAGTGAATTAATGACTTTCTCTTGATTTGTGGTAACTATAAATTGGTCTTTTTTTATTTTTCTTTTCATTATATTTATATATATATATTAGTGTACCTTGAAGGCTCTTTCTCCATCACTATAATGTGAAAAGACATTCTAAGATTCCTTGAATGCATCGATACTAGAGGAATTACCACCCACTAGTCGCACCCATTTTCTACATTTGCGATTTAGTTTAACTAGCTATTTAAAGTTGATGGGAAATTTTATTGAATTCTCTTTATACACATGCAAAACTCTACACTATATTATAATGTTTCTTTATGTATGTACACATAAATATATAATATGTATTTTAATTAGAAAATTCTTTAGTGGAGAAAATTTTCTTGTGATGTCGTTCCGGTGGATTTATTGTGTTTTTCTCAAGAACATAAAGATTTTTTTAATAATTAAATTAATTAATTGTCAAAGCTATTTTAATTAGTGGGAAACAAAATTAATTTCTCTTAATTCGAGAAAATTTCCTGTTTAGAAACGTTTTTGTCTTAATCTTTCGTTTGCTGTGAAAAATATTATTTTATTAACAAAATTATTTTGCCTCATAAATAATTTTTGTATGTCCCCAAAAAATATTGTTTTTGAAAAAAAATTCTTTCCCAAAAAATATTCTTTTTGAGAAAGAATTCTTTCCCAAAAAAGTATTATTTTCCCAAAGAAATTCTTTCACAAAACATATTTTTTTCAAAAGGAATTCTTTTCCCAAATAAATTTTCTTTTACAAAGAAAATTCTTTTCTAAACAATTTTTCTTTCTACGGAAAAAATCTAATTTGTCTTCAATTACATATTTTTGTTCGAAAAAAAATTTGTTGGTTCAAATGAATTAAATAATAATGTAATAGTAAATAAATAATAAATAAATAATAAATAAATAATAAATAAATAATAAATAAATAATAAATAAATAATAAATAAATAATAAATAAATAATAAATAAATAATAAATAAATAATAATAACATTTATTTTCGTAAAGGAATTTTACCGTTTTCCGATGTCTAGAGAATAAAATTATATCGTTACATTATAATTATTACATATCTTCCAGGATATAATCGTTTTATGGTTTCCTCGAGATCCGTGGATTCCAGATATATATATAAGAGATTTTTTCCCTATTTTTCTTTCCGTTTTATTTTTTTTTTTAGAAAAAAAAATATCAAAAGGAATTTCTTCTTTATTGAATTCATGGAACAATTTATTTTTTGTTTCAGAAATGCCAGGTGCTCAAGGAAGAAAATCAAAGGTTACAGGACGCTCTGACTGCAAATCGAATGCCTCGTGTTCAAGTCATCGACAATGTTTTCCTCCAAACTCAAGTCAATACACTGCAATGGCAACTCAAACAGGTAAATCATTCTCTACTATTGACAATTAATGGCAATTTACACGAAAAAATGGAATTTTTTATTTAAAAAACTAAATTTTTAAGTTAAAAAAAATTTTTATTTAAAAAAAGTAATTTTCATTTAAAAAAAGAAATTTTTAATTTAAACCAATTTTTTTATTAAAAGAAAAACAATTGTTTAAAACAATTGTCGCCAAATTTTCAAAATTTGCAAAGAGATTATTTATTTATTTATTTATTTATTTATTTAAAATATAGACAATAAATTTTTTAATTTATAATATATTTTTAATTTTTTTTGAAATTCTAAATTCTAAAAGAAAAATGTTTAATTTATGAACAATAAATATATTATTTATTTCTATTATTGGTAATTAATTTATAAAAGAATAAATTAGAATTGACAATTAATATCAATTTAAAAAAAGTCTAATTAAAAGGAAAAACAAAAATTATTTAAAACAATTGCCACAAAATTTCTTAAAATGTTAATTTTTTTGACAAAGGAAAATAAAAAATGACACATTTAATTACCTTCTCTAATTTTTCTTCTATTTGTTACTACAAAAAAATAAATTGTTGTATATTATTTCTTTTTTATAAATTTTTTAAGAAAAAATTAAAATATAAACAATTATTTCTTTTTTTTATTGATAAAGCAAAAAAGTTCAAAAATTGACGATTGTTTCTTTTGTTTATTCTACAACTTCTACAAATAAATAATAAATTGACAATTATTTTCTTTTTATTCTCAAAAAAATATGATTTTCTCTTTATTTTTTATTCTGAAAAAAAATGGTAATTATTTCTATTCTTATTTTTAAAGAAAAAATGCAAATATTGACAATTGTTAATTTTTCTCTCTAAAAAAAACGAAAATAAACGAATTTTTCCATATTTTTGAAAATCTCGAAGAAAAAAAGCAAAAATTGATTATTTTTTTTTATTTAAAAAAATCCTGAACCATTTTTTTCTTTATTTTTTATTCTTATAGAAAAAAAATTGACGATTATTTCTTTTCTTATTCTCAGGAAAAGCGAAAATTTTTATATTTTTTTTCCAAAAAAAAGAGAAAAATTGACTATTATCTATTTTACTTTGAAGAAAAATTTTTAATTTTGTAGTAAAAAAATTGAAAATTAACGTTTTTTTATTTTTTTCATTCTCAAAAATACGAAACTAGACCATTTTTTCTTAATTTTTTATTCTCAAAGAAAAGAAACAAGAATTGACGATTATTTCTTTTTTTATTCTCAAAAAAAACGAAAATCGAAAATTATTATTTGTTCTGTTTACTCAAAAATTGAGAAAAATTCACTATTATTTTTTTTATATTGAAGAAAAATTGTTTTTTATACTAAAAAAATAGAAAGTTGACGTTTCTCTAATTTTTATTCTTAAAAAGACGAAAGTAAACTATTTCTTTCTTTATTTTTTATTCTCAAAGAAAAAAATTGCAAACATGACAATTTTTTATTTTTTTCTCAAAAAGAAAACGATTTTTTCAATTCTTTTTATAACAAAAAAGGAAAATAGACTTTTTTTTAATTCTCAAAGAAAAAAAAATTGACGAGTATTTTTGTTACTATTCTGAAGAAATTGACAATTATTATTCACAAAAAAAAAAAAAATTTACAATTATTTTTTTTTGTTCATTCTAAAAAAATTGATGAATTTTTTTTTATTTAAAAAAAAATATAATTTGAATATTTTTTTTTTAATCTCAAATAAAAATTCTTTTTCTTTACTCAAATTAGCCGAAATTGATGATGTTTTTATTCCCAAAGAAAAAAATTAAAATCTACAATTATTTATGTTATTTAAAAAAAAAAATTTTTTTTAATTATCAAACAAACGAAAATTAACGATTTCTCCCTTTATTTCGCAGACTGAATCGAATCGACAAATGTACCGTTCATTGATGGAGCAAGTGGTCCGCTTCTTGGATCGAACACGGAAGAGCCTTGACATTCTTCATGAGAAGAGTAGTGCCAAGGACAAAGGCCGTGTGCCAAGGAGTCGTAGTGTTCACACTGTTCACATTGAATCCTCATCGAGCCCAGGAGCTTCGACGACGTCATCATCGTCCTCTGAATCCTCCAGGTTCACGAGGGCAAAATCAGTTAATCAAATATCGCCGAGTCCATCGTTACTCAAGGACTTTACATGGTCAGTGTTGAGACGAAACGATTCAATTCATTCGACAACGCCAAGATTTAAAGTTGCGCCAAAACCAGTTGATTTAAATAAAACACACGATGGAGTTGTTTATCGACGACCAAAGCAACATGATCACGATCCCGATCTTGTGCCACCGGAAAAATTATCGCAGGAGGCATTCAGGTACTGGAGAAATTTTCTGTTTTAAAAAAATAGAGAATGTAAAATTTTTGTGAAAAATATTTTTTTTATTCATTTTCTTTTATTTACTTCACGTAAAAAAAAAGAAAATTGACGAATATTTCTATTTCAATAAGAAAATCGACGAATATATTTTTTAATTTTTTTTTTAATAAGAAAGTCGATAAATATTTATTTTTTATTTATTTTTCAAGCAAAAAATGAATATTTATTTTTATTTTATTTATTTTATTTAAAAAAAAGTTTTTTATTCACAAGAAAAAAAAGAAAATAAACGACTGATTTTTTATTTATAAGAAAAGAAAAAAGAAAATTTACGAATATTTATTTTTTTATTTATTTTCAAAGAAAGAACGAAAATTGACGATTATTTTTTTTTGTTTCATAACAATGTCGACCAATATTTTTTTTTATTTATATTTTAATAAGAAAATTAACGAATATTTCTTTTTTTATTTATTTTCAAAGAAAAAAAGCGATAATTGGCAATTTTTTTATTATAAGAAGAAAAAGAAAATTGATGAATATTTCTTTTTCAATAAAAAATCGACAAATATTTATTTTTTTTCAAATTATTTTCCAAGCATAAGACGAATATTGAAGATTATTTTTTTTATTCATAAGGAAAATAAAGAAAATTTACTACAAATTTTTTTCATAAGCAGAAAAAGTAAATTGACAAATATTTCTTTTTTTTTAAATTATTTTCCAAGCATACGACGAATATTGAAGATTACTTTTTTTTATTCATAAGGAAAATAAAGAAAATTTATTACAATTTTTTTATTCATAAGCAGAAAAAGAAAATTGACGATTATTTTGTTTATTTTTAAGAAAAAGAAGAAAATTGTTAATTATTTTTTTTCTCAATAATAATAAAAATAAATAATTTCTCCTTTATTTTTTATTTTTTAAGAAAACGAATATGAAAATTGACGATTATTTTTTTATTCCTAAGAAAAAAAGAAAATTTACGACAATTTTTTTATTTATAAGAAAAAAAAAGAAAATTGTCGTTTAATTCTTTTTTTATTTTTAAAAAATACTTTAATTGACGATTTTTTTTTATTCGTAAATAATAATAAAAGTAGATAATTTTTTCTTAATTTTTTTATTTTTAAAGAAGAGGAAGAATATGAAAATTGACGATTATTTTTCAGTTTTATTAGAAAAAAAGAAAACTGTCTATTCTTTCTTTTTTATTTCTAAAAAATACAAAAATTGATTATTTCTTTTTTTAATTTATTTTTGAAGAAAGTAAACGAAAATTAACTATTATTTTCTTTTTTAATTTATTTTCAAATAAAAAAATAAAATAAACAAATTTTTCCTCTTTTAAATTTATTTTTAAAGAAAAAAAAGAAAATTGACAAAAATTAATTTTTTAATTCTGTTTCCAATAACAAAGTAGAGGAATATTTTCTTTTTTTATTTAATTTTCAATAGGAAAATCAACGAATATTTGTTTTAATTTTTTTTCAAAGAAAAAGACGAAAATTATCAATTTTTTTTAGAAAAAGAAAATTTACGATTGTTTTTTTTTTATTCATAAGAAAAAGAGAAAATTATCTATTATTTTTTTATATTTATCTCAAGAAAATGAAAATGGACAAATTTTTTCTTGTATTTTTTATTTTTAAAGAAAAAGAAAATAGAAATTGACGATTACTTTTTTTACACACAAAAAAATAAAAATGTCGATAATTTTTTTTACTGATAAGAAAAAAAGAAAATTCATTTGCTTTAATTATAAAAATATATATTTACTAAATAAATTAGAAAAAAGAAAATTGACGATTATTTTTCTTATTTACAAAAAGAAAAATGAAAATTGTCGTTTAATTCTTTTTTATTCTTTAAAAAGACAAAAATTGATGATTTCTTTTTATTCTCAACAAAAGGAAAATAAAAAGAAAAAGTTAATAAATAGAAAAAAAGGAAGTCGACAATTATTTTTTTAAAATTTATTTTAATTAAAAAAAACCGACGAATATTATTTTTATTTTGTTTTCCAACTAAGAAAATCGACGAATATTTATTTTCTTTTATTTATTCCCAAAGAAATACAACAAAAAGTCATTAATTTCAGTAAATTATTATTTTTCTTCTGTATTTTTAATAAATAAATAGATTTTTAAAAATATTTTCAAATAAATAAATTTTTTCCAGCAACTGATAAGTTTTTCTTTTTTAGATTAATGAGAACCGTGCAGTCGTTACTATCAATGCGAGATCCGGATTTAATGAAAATGTCATCAATGGAGGACAATGCATCAATGACATTGTCCGTGGATCATCATCATCATCATCAACATCACGAATCGTCATTGTCATTGCAACCGAATAATTTTGCCAATTCAACGACACTACCACCCGATACATCGTCGACATCGTTTATTAGCGGTGGTAGCGACCGTGGCAATGAATCGTGTAATGAAACTGAAAACAGTACTAGTAATAGAACGACGCTTTGCAAAAATTCAACGAGTACAATTGATGCCAATGATAATTTGTCATTATTACCAAGAGCGAGACGTTCTCTCGACGCAACATCATTGAATTCGGGTAGCAGTAAAACAACCGACGACGAAGTATTGACAAATGCCGATAATAATTTCGTTGTCGATTCCATTGCGAAACGTGATTTTTTCAATGTTGAATCGCGAGCGATGAAGAAAATTGAGAAGGATGGTGTTAAAATTAGACCGAAACCGTCGAATAGTGTCAGTAGTGCTGAGGATGAAAGTGGATTTTCATCCATGAGCTCGTTTCAGGTGGATTCATTTTTTTAATTTAATTTTTTAGTTTTTTTTTATTTAATTTTTTCTTTTTTTAAATTATTTACATATTCTGAATTAATTTCTTTTTTAAATTATTTACTTTTTCTGTATTATTTTCTTTTTTTAATTATTTACTTTTTCTTTATTATTTTCTTTTTCTAAATTATTTACTTTTTCTGTATTATTTAATTTTTCTCAATTATTTACTTTTTCTCTATTATTCTTTTTTCTAAATTATTTACTTTTTTGTATATTATTTTTTTTTAATTATTTTCTGCTTCTAAATTATTTTCTTTTTATAAATATTTTCTTTTTCTAAAATATTTTCTTTTAATAAATTATTTTCGTTTAATAAATTATTTCCTCTTTTTAAATGCTAATTTTTTCTTTATTTTTAATTCTTTCCTAAATTTATTATTTTTTCAGAATTTTTTATTACCGTTTTGTTCTTTCTTTTAAATATCTTTTTATGTCTTTAGCTCTTGACTTCTTTTTTCATTCGCAATTCATTAATATTTTTCTTTAAGTTCTAAACTTTCGAGCAAACGAATTTTTTTTATTTTTAAGTATTTTCAAAAAACTATTGTATGTTCCAAATAGAATTAAAGAAAATTAAAAATTTTATTAATTAAAATTTTGAAATTAAATTAGAACTGAAAGAAAAACGTTGTTAATTTAAAAGATTTTTATTAAAAATATTCTGAGTTTGAAAATTTTAATAAAAACCGTTTAATAAAAAGAAATTTTAATATTTAGAAGTAAAAAGTTTTTCAAGTTTAGTAAATTTGTCAAAATTGACCAATTTAATATTTAGTAAATTTATTCTTAATTCATAAATAATAATAAATATCGTTATTATTATTATCTTTTATATCTATAATGATTTGAAAATATTTACTTACATCAAAATAGTCTTAAATTATTTTTAAAACTATATTTATTTTAATTTAATTTTGAAATTAAAATTTGAATTGGAAGTTATTAATTTAAATTTTAAATTGAGAGCTGAAATTAAAGTTTTTAATTGGAATTTTCAATTTAAATTTGAAATTAAAATTGTAAAATGAAAGTTTAAATTAAAATTTTAAATTGAAATTTTTGTTAATTAAAATTTTAATTTTAAAGCTGAAATTAAAGATTTTAATTCAGATTTAAAATTTAAAATTTAAAATTATATTTCCCATTGAAAGTTAAATTTAAAGTTTTTTATTGAAATTTTCAATTTAAATTTGAAATTAAAATTGTAAATTGAAAGTTTAAATTAAAATTTTAAATTGAAAATGTTAATTAAAATTTTAATTTCAAAGCTGAAATTAAAGATTTTAATTTAATTTCTCAATTGAAATTTGAAATTAAAATTTTAATTAACATTTTCAATTTTAAATTGAAAATTAAATTTCCCATTGAAAGTTGAAATTAAAGTTTTTAATTGGAATTTCCGATTGAAAGTTGAAATTAAAGTTTATAATTGAAAGTTTCAATTTAAATTTGATAATAAAAATGGAAATTGAAATTTTCAATTTAAATTTGAAATCAAAATTGGAATTTGAAAATTTCAATTTTCTGTAATTAAAACTTTGGATGGAAATTTTTATTTCAAATTTGAAATTAAAATTTAAAATTTAAATTTTAAAGTCAAATTTTTAATTGAAATTTTAAATTGAAAGTTGAAGCTAAAATTAAAATAAATTAAATTTAAATTTACTGAATAAAAATTCCACTTTAATTTGGAATAAATTTATTAATATGCAAATTGACAATTTTCAGGAAGTTGGATTGCCCTCAGCGATTCCATTTTCTCCAGTAAAAGGCTGCCATACTGAAGTCGGACTTCCGGAAGTGCCACTCGATAAAGTGAGACATCGACGTTGGTCCTCGACTCCAGCAGAAATTCAAGCACTCTTCAAACGCCATAGTGGTAGCTTCGCAAATTCTCAGACCACAACAGAATCATTGAGTGTCTGGGTTTGAAATTATCAAATATAAGGAAACAGCAAAGAAAGAAAAAAAAGAGTGCAATTCCTGGAACACTTATTAATAACTATCGTCAATTTTTTTTTTCATTTTTCTTTTTTTCGTTTTTCATCTGTAAATAGTTATTAGTCTCGCTACTTAATGTGATCTTCGCTTTATAGTTTAATACTTTCGCAGAGAGCTTTTTTTCCTCACAAGCAATTGTGAAATTTTTTTATTTTTTGCTTTTCTGAACTAATCAGAAAGCAATGATAATATTAAATTCGTTTCTCATTTACTATTTCGAAATTACTTTATGATAAAAAAAGAATCACTGAAGACTGGTACTTGAAGTAATATTGAAATCAGTTCTAATTCTAAATGGTTTAAAGCTCTTATTTTATTTATTCAAAAAAAAATTTATCTTCTTTTTCTCTTTTTTTTGATATTTATAAATGTTTTCAAATTAAAAAAAATTAAAATACAAAAAAAACAAGAAACTACAAAAATTTGTTTCGAAAATATTCATAAAAATTAATTAAATTAAAAAAAGAGTAAAAAGTAAAAAGAATAATCATGATGCTGAGAAACAAATGATTCATGATAATACAGAAATAATTTATAATAGCAAAGTTTTCACACGACTTTTCATATCTAGTGATACATATATTTAAAGTAAATTCATATAAGTATATATTATACATTTATTTATTATAAGCAAACTTTTGTGTCAAAACTCTGATGTTGTTTTTAGTGTATGAAAAATTATTTTATTTAAAACTCTTGTAATTTAAAATCGAAACATTGTACGTTAGTTTTTAAGTCACTGAAAGTAAAAATGTATTATTTACTTTTAAGATATATATATATATTTAATATTTGCATGATAATATTCGGCGAATGTTCCTTTTTTTTATTTTCTATTAAAAATTTGCATTTGAATTTAAAAATTCTAAAATTTTATTTAAAAAAAGTGTATTTATACTAAAATTTATAAAATTTCCGATTTAATTTTTGTATAAAACAGAACAAAAAAAATGTGACTGTATTATCACTACGAAATTCATTTGTTTGCATTTATCGTTACTTTTAACAGGGTAGAAGAAAAAAATCTATTTGTAACGTCTTTGTAAAATAAAACGTGTATTTCAAGAGATTTTAAACAATTTTGTATTGTTTTCAGCTCTCAATTTGCTTTTAAATAGCTTTAAAAAAAATTATTGTAATTATCAGTTTTAAGCATTTTTTCTATTTAAACTTAATTTTAAGATTGAATATAATTTAAATTTTGAGTAATTAAAAATTTTTTTAATATAAAAATTAATAAAGTTAAAAGGAAATTAAAGGAATTAAATTAAATTATTTATTAATTCTTTTAATTTAATTTAGAAATTTAGAAATTAAAATAAAAAATTGATTAAGTCAATAAATTAATTAATTATTTAGGTATGAATTATTATTTTATTAATTGAATAATTATTTAATTAATTGATTAATTCTTTACTTAATTGTTTATTAACTAATTAATTGTTTATAAATTAATTTATTTAAATTAAATTCCCAAATTAAAGGAAAATATTATTATTAAAATTGTTAAAAGAAAATTAATAAAATAAGAAAAAAATAAAGTAATTAGTGTAAAATAATACAATTTGAAAGTAATTATTTAAATAATAGGTATAATGAAAATTTAGATAATTATTTTCTTTTGAAGAAAAATTTAAATGCACAATTGAATTTGAATCTCCCGCCATTTGTGTAGTTCGAAAAGTGGCGCTAGTGTTCACTTTCGGGCGGGAAACTAGTGCGCGTCTGCGGCGTGAGATTTAATACTAAAAGTTCTCTTGCACGTGTAAGAAAAAGTTCCGAAAAAAGTGAGTTTTCCGTAATTATATTTGCATATTATATTTAAATCAAAGTTGCGATAATGTAGTATTCGATTATTCATAAAGTGATTGAAATCTTAGTGATAAAGTTCCGCTTTCTCGTCTCGAAAATTATTGTGCACGTGGTCAGGTTAAAATTTACAGATTCGTAATTTGCATCGCGTTTTTGTTAATTATCTCGTATCCATAACTTGAACCCAGAAAAGAAAAAAGTGCTGTGTAGATTATTAGATAATTATTTTCTCAATCACATAATTTTTTATTCTTTTTTTCTTAAAAATCAGCAAGTGGAATACTCGCCCCTGAGCATAGGCAATTTTCCTTGCGTCTTGAGTTCGGGTACAATCTGAAAGTGGCGCTAATGTAATCGTCTCATTGAGCGGGAACGCGAGTGATCGAGTGTTACTGTTTTATAAATTATCACAAATATAAAAAGAACTTTATTTTTACATAAATTTAATGAATTTAGTATTATATTTAAAAAATTTTACTTTAAAAATGTTTTGTGTGAAATACGGGGGTTTAAATTTCGCGCGCCTTCGTATGCGCATGACGCGTACGACTTGAAGTTGGCAACAGAGGTCCTCGCGATCGCCATTTTACTTTTCAATAGTTTGTCAAGTTATCAAACATTTTACGTAACATTTTAGTTATTTTACAGTTATCATTTAGAATTTTCAGTGTGTAAAGTAATAAATATTAGTTCTCAAAGTGCTTAATATACGTACACTTAACTAAAATAGATAAAATTTTCACTTGTGTACGAATATACAGTGTTCGCGTCGTTCGCCGGTAGATTGATGTCGTGAGTAGGAAATGTTAAAAGTATACATCAATATTTTGTTAAAAAACACATTAATCTACTATAAATTTCAATAGAAATCGAGTCAAATAAGTTTATATTTTTATTATTCAGTTGTACAGTAAGCTATCTTTCCGCGAGTAAAAATCTTGTTTGCTTTTCATTCCTTCTGAAAGTGAGGTTATGTTTATCAATTGTCGGAATGCCGGTTGAAATAAATTCCTCATTTGTTTTGATTGCATTGTTAAAAATCGTACAACTAACAATGGATCGAGTATTTATGAAAACATTCAATGTGTTTTAAATGTTTCTTGGATTTATTTTCGATTATTCTCGTTTATCGTTAAGATATAAATACCGTTTAATCGTTTCGAACATTTTCACAAAAGTTTGTAAACGGAAAATTAGAATGCGAATTTGAATATTTCGAAGGTATAAAAGTTAGAAGTAAGCAGTGCGCGTTTTAAAGCAGAATAAAAGTGAAGTGAATAAAGTTTCCCTTTGGATAAACGGATTACTTGGATAAACAGCAGGAGATTCTGAAATCTGGATTGGACAATGGGACGCTTTTCAATGAAAGGTTAGCAAAAAAAAGAATTTTAAGTTATATTATCAACCATTTTTCTAATAAGTTATTTTTGTCGTGAATATATTTTCGACAAACAAATATTTAAAATAACATTTTACAATTTTTGAACACGATTTAGAATTTTTTGACACGATTTTCTAACTTTGGCCCCTAATTTTATAATTATTGAACGTATTTAATGATTATTTCATAATTATCGATTTAAGATTTCAAAAATTTAATTTTTAATTATTGTAGTGTGATTTTTACATTTGAACACCTTTTTACTATTTCTGAACACGATTTGACAATTTTGACATGATTTTATCATTTTGACCCTTGATATTAGAATAATTTGACTTATTTTTCATTATTTGGCAAATTTACCGATTTAAACATTTCAAAAATTAATTTTTTATTATTGTAAGGTGGTTTTTACTTTTTGTCAGGTTTTTTACAATTTCTGAACACAATTTGGAATTTTTTGACACGTTTTTATAAGTTTTTCCTTGATTATAAATATATTTAAATCATAAAAAATTTCAATTTTGAATGAATTTAATTAATTATTAAAAATAATACTTTTATAGAAGAAATTTAGTTGAAATACTAAAAAAATTGAATTTTAGAGAAATTACAAATGATTACAGAAATTTAATTATTTTCAAAAGTAATAAAATTCTTCTCAAAAAATGAAATTCAATTCAATGAAAATGAATTCAATTATTTTGAAAAATTTTCATAATTAAATTCTTGGAAAAATTCTACGCAAACATTTAATTATTTTTTTTTTAATCATAAAAATTTCTCAGGAATGAAATTATTAATAATTTTTTTATAAATTTCTTCTCAATAATTCAATATTTTCATAAATAATAAAATTTTTACAAGACATTCAATTATGTTGAAAAATTTTTTTAAATTCTATGCGAAATTTCAATTATTTTTAAAAATATTAAAATTCTCCTAAATTAAATTATTTTCAAAAATTTTAATAAAATTCTTGTAAAAAGTTCAATTATTTTCAAAATTATTTCTTGAATCAATGATTTTCAATATTTAATAGATATTTTAATAAAATTTTCCAAAAGAATTCAATTAGTTAAAAAATATTTTGATAAAATTGTACGTAAAAATTTAATTATTTTCATAAATAATAGAAATTCACAGGAATTAAATTCTTTACAAATTCTTCATCAACTTCTTTGCAATAAATCCACTATTTTCGTAAATAATAAAATATTTTTCAGAGATTCAATTATTTTCATAAATAATACATTTTTTTTACAAAAATTCAATTATGTTCAAAAATAATAAATTTTTTTACAGAAATTAAATTATGTTCAAAAGTTTTAAAAAAATTCTCTTCAAAATTTAAATTATCTTTATTGATAATAAAATTCTGCTCTGAAATTAAATTATTTTCAAAAATTTTAATAAAATAATTCTTGTAAAGTTTTCAATTATTATCAAAATTATTCCTTAATTCAATGATTTTCAATAACTAATATTTTAATAAAATTTTCCAAAAGAATCCAATTATTTAAAAAATATTTTGTTTAAATTGTATATACGTAAAAATTTAATTATTTTCATAAATAATAAAAATTTCGCAGGAATTCAATTATTTACAAAGAATTTAATTATTTACAAAATTTTTATAAATTTCTTCGGAATAATTACATTATTTTCATAAACTTTACAATTTTTTACAGAGATTCAATTATTCTCGTAAATAATAATTTTTTTTTAGGAATTTAATGATTTTTATAAACTCATCTCAGACTTTCAATTATTTTTAATCGAATTCCACGAAAAAATGTAATTATTCTTATAAATTCTATTAAAATTCGTCGAAAAAATGTAATGATTTAAAAATTTATTGATAACATTCTTTTTGAGAAACATTCAATTATTCAATAAATTATGTAATTATTTTTCTATTTAATTGATTGTAAAATAAAAAAAAATAATTGAATTCTCTGAAATAAATATTAATTAAAAAATGGTTTTCTGATAAAATTTTAGATAATAATTGAACTTTAAAAGAATTAGAGCGTATATTTTTAGAAATAATTTAACTTTGAAAAGGTTTCAAATTAAAATCTTTAAAAATCTGAATTTTTCATACTTTTAGCTAACAATTCTGCAGAATTTTAAAAAAAATTATTCAAAAGTTGTTAAAAATAATTGATTTAAAGAAAAATTTTAGTTAAAAATTCTAAAAAATAATAATTGAATTGATGAAAATAATTTTGAAGAAGTTACACTGAAAAAAAATTTAATTGATTTAAATAACCGATTAATTGACTATTATTAATTAAATATTTGCTTGAATCAAATAATATTTATTGGAGTCAATTAAATGGTATTTGAACCAATAATTTCAGTATTTGAAGCAAATATATGATCATGCAAATATGAAGTGAACCATTTAATTGACTCCAATAAATATTATTTGATTCAATTAAATATTTAATTGATAATAGTCAATTAATCGGTTATTTGAATCAAATAAATTCTTTTTTCAGTGTACAGTAACAATATTCTTAAAAATTATTGAATTTTAAAAAGTTTGAATTTTAATCTTTTGAAGAATTTTAATTCCTATGGAAAAATAATATTGATGAAGTATTTATTTAAAAAAGAAGTTATTGTTGTTTTCGAATAATTTTACAATTGGAGAAATTTGTAAATAAATGTATAATAGAACTTTTTTTTGGAGTATCTAATAATTTTTAGCGTGAATCAGAGAATATTCTTTAGGGTTCAGGAAAAAAGACAAAATTTTGTCTCGAAAGTCAGGGAAAAACAAAATTAAAGTTTTCTAGCAACCCTGTATTTCGAAAAGTTGAAATTATCAAAAAATCTCGCAGAAAGCGTGTCATCGAAATATGTAGAGGAAGGTCGGGGGAAATTCTTGTGTGCATTCCAACGTGAAGATATATATAGGTATAATTATATTTCTAACGCAAGTTATAAAGCTTATCACTATACTATATTGGAGGCAATATACACACTACACGTGTTATCAGCATATTTTCTCTCTTGAGCATGTTGGTCTGCGATTTGTCTGAAAGATCGCGCCACTATGCAAGACTCTTTTAGATTGATTTTCAAGAGCATAGCCGAGCACCGAGTGCTCGGTGTTATTTTAATGTGCCACGGCGCGGTCGGCAGCGTTCGGTGCGTGTGTACGTGGGTGAAGACGGGAACGACCCGAACGACGGTGACGAGAAACATCATCGACGACGACGACGACAACGACGACGATCAAATTTCGCAACGAGAAATTAGGGCCTGTCGTGTGTGAGGTTCGGGTGCGCGGATCACTTCTTCACATCCTCGTTCAAACCGGGGAAAATAAAATTCACCCGACATTCATTTTCCTTACCTGTAAATTTTTTCATATTTTTTTTTTAATTTTTTTTTTTATTTTTGAGTTGTCAAGGGGTATTTTGTATTTTTTTGAGAAAAGAAATCGTGTGACCTGGTGTGTGTGTGTATGTGTTTCGTGTAGCGCAGTGCGTGAAATGAGTGACAAGGACCGATCATCTCCCACCTTAGTTGAAAGCAGCCTCAAGTCGTTACTCGACCAACCCAGTATTTTTCCCCTCATTGGTAAGTTATTTTTTTTTAGGTACCGAAGTTCGATTATTGACAGGTTCTTTTTTTGTAGTTTGGCAAATTTTTTCTATTTTCATAGCTAGATTTTTCTTTGGTATGTTAGTTTTTTTTTTTTGAAAATGAAAGCAACCGGGAAATCGTCTGCTATTTCTCGTGGACTCGTGAGCCTTTCCCAAAGGCATCGAGCAAAGGGTAAAGGTCGTTCACGTCTATCCGCAATTTAAACTCTGCTCTTATCGTCAATTTGATTTCGAATTTTTTTTTTCAATTTCGTTTTCCTTTTTCCTCTGAGAATTTTTTCCCCCAAAATTGTCGATTTTTGAGTTGATGAATTTTTCAGAATGTGTTATTTTCTTCGAAACCCGCGCAATGCGGTTGTTGAAACTATACTAGCGCTTACTGGTGGCGATTTCTTGAGAGATTTGTCGATTAATTTTTACTTTTTCCTTGATCAGTTTTGATTTTGTTTTTTTTTTGTTGAGAGGGGAATGTGAGGAAATAATTTGTTATCTGGTCAGATTGAGTACTTTGATTTTTTCCTTGTTCGAATTTGGAAGAGACTTTTTTTTTTGATTGTCGAGTGGTTAATTGGGAAAATTGAATTTTTTAGCAAGACGAGAGAGAGAGAGTGAGAGAGTAAGAGGTTTTCTATAAAATGTATTTGTATTTGTATTCCATGTTGCGCCGGCGCTCATCTCGTGATTAACCTCGTTCAGACCCTGTGGCGCACCACGTGACACCGCATGCAGTCTGACTAACCTAACCTATAGTCATTCTCTTTTTTTTTACTCCGAACGGAAACCCAACCAAACGGAAAACCCATGATTTTAAATTCTAATCACTAATTTTACTTTTGTTCGTTGTTAAAATTCAAATTGTATCTGATTATTTGCCATTTTTTTCTATTCTTCCAAACGCAACAAAATTAATTTCTTTTCAAAGTAATTTCAACTTTTAGTATTTTTTTAGTAAATTTATATTAATTTTCAATTGCAATTTTATTTTATATTATCATTTTATAGAGATTTAAATTATTATAAAATAAAATTGCAGTAGAAAATGAATATATTTACTAAAAAAATATTTCAGGGAACAATATTAAAAAATTAGCTAAATTAAATTTTTCAGTTAAATTCGAAGTCCATTTTTAAATTTTGTTTGAATTTTTTTTAGCTAAATTTCAATTTTAGTAGCTAAATTCGAAGTCTTGTCTACTTTTTAATTTTCTTTTAATTTTTCTTCAAAATTAAAGGAAGTTAGTTTTTTAATGACTATATACTTGAATTTTTATGTTTTCTTGTGAATAAAACCCGTAATTTCGTGTATCAAGAGATAAACTTTTTTTGTAGAAAGTAACTAAGAGATAAATTATCGTTATACTAATG